GAGTGTTTGGTTTGGTTGGTGGATTGGTTGAGCTCACACCTTTAGGGCTCATGCCCACGAGACGGTTTTTCGCCGGAGCTAAAGCCAGCGTCAAGCCGGGTCTACGTCCGGGCGTCAGTATTTAGAGCGCATGTACACGAGACCGGATCTACACCCGGCGCGTGCCGACTACCTACGCACAACGCAATAATTATGGAGATCAACCACGAATTATTAACTAATTTGGTAGAAGAGAGGCCAGTGTTGTAGGATATTTGTATCTTTATGTTTAAGTTTAGGTTCCAAAATATATAACATTTTGTTAAATGTTTCTTTTTTCATTCGAAAGTACTTATATACAAATTTCTCGTCATGTTTCATTAGTTGCTTCTGAATAAGCGTATGAAATGCACCAAAATCTTCTCTTTCTGTCAAAACGGGATGTACACAGTATCGTCTTTATATTTTTTATCGTCTTTTTTTTTAACTTTTTATACATGTGCCACGCAATAATACATTTCCTCTTTTTAACACTCAACATTTAGTACATCCACAATTCACAGAATAAAAAGAGCGTATGAAGGCTGCACCTCTATGAAACCGGGCCGTGTTACAACCGTCTCCTTGGCATGAGCCCTTATAGTCTTTAACAATTGGCCTCCAGAATGGTTTCTGATGGTAAGGCGTGATTGTTACCGAGTAGTGTTCGTTTATTTAAATAAGTTCGAGAATAATTTCTAACAATTGATAGTTTTACAATACAGTGGACCGCCGGTAATCCGACAAACATTTTGCAGGGCAGCGTCGGACTATCGAATATGTCGGATTATAGAGTACATATATACCTAAAACCCCCTATAGTCCGGAGTTTTTATAAAAGAGTACCTTGTAATCCGACAAATGCCAAATCCAATGATAACATTCTATATGTTATATACAGGGCGTCCCAGTAATGGTGGATAATCTGCTACGTATGTGTTCGGGAGGGGGGAAGGTGGCCTCGGTTCCCTAAAAAAAATTCTATCCCGAACGGTTCGCGGTCTACGCCATGTTTTATAAAATTCCGAAAATTCGTACTTCTGCTCACATTTGTGGTCATCACGTCCGCAGTTTAATGCCTAGATCGGATTTTTTTCTTTTAATAGAACACATTAAAAGAAAAAAATCTGATCTATATAATGTGTATATCTAATAATGATGTTTCTAAATTAGCCTTAAAAGTTTTCAAATACTATGGTTAGTATTTTACAATACGGCACTAAACATAAGTTTAAATTTTTACTTTATTTAACTGCTAAGTTTGAGCACCTGTGGTGAAAAAAAAACGTATAGGATCTGTGTGACCAACTATTTAAAACGTTTCCCTACGTCAAATTTATCAAATTTATATGGGACAAAATGAGAAGTATCAGCTTTCATAGAAAAAAGAATCGTCGAAATCGGTTCACCCAGTGAAAAGTTATGAGGTAACACATATAAAAAAAAACTAAAAAAACATACAGTCGAATTGAGTACCGTCTCCTTTTTGGAAGTCGGCAGAAAAGATCCGTCTATTTCGATGCGAGATATCTAACAACGCACTGGAGTATCGCACTTTACAGCACATCGGATTCTCAAAAAATGGAGACTTCACCCTTATCATGTTATACGTGTGCAAACGCCTCAACAACGTGACTACCCAGCACGAGTTACTTTTTGTAAAGAAATGCTGAGGCGAATGGATGAAGATCCCGGGCTTTTTGGAGCGACGAGTCAACGTGTACCTTTGTTACCTTAACTTGCGTAATCTACACCACAAACCCATATTTGATGAGAAAAGATAGGTCGCAATACCAGTTTAAAATAAATTAATGGACATGAATACTAAACGGACGAAAACAACACGTCGACGCGGCTCAGAAAGGAAATTAGTCTGTAGTTCTTCAAGAGAGCGTTGCCGCATATCTTGAAGAATAAGACATCTGCATTTCTGCTTAACGCCTCGGGTGTAGTACTTTTTTTTTATAGGATAAGGGTGACAAACGAGCACACAGTCCATCTGATGGTAAGTGGTTGCTGTGGCCCATAGACATCTACATCTATCTTCGATTATTCGATTAAGAATAAAAATGCAGATGCGTTGTCACCCGTGAGGACTAAGATGGAATGCCTCGTTTCCAGTAAAAAGGGTCTCCGGTTCTCTACACTCACCATACGAAGCACAGCAGAGTTAAGCTGCTATTTTCTCGCTGGTATTCTGTGAGAGCGTCGTCCTTCCCCGGTCGAGCCGACCCATTCGTGCTACAACTATACTATTAATATAGCTGCAGCATGGCTCTACCACGTAACACGTGCTACCATGGAGGACGGAATTAAAGAGCTTCTGAAGGACTTCAAGTACCGGTTTTCCACCCGCTTTCAGAAGCTCCGCTGTAATTCCGTCCTCGCCCGCTCGAGAGCCATTCTAATCTCGCTCAGACTGTCGTCCGGAAAATCTCAGGTATCTCTTTCTGGCAGACAGATCTCTGGCAAAGATTTTGGAGCTCTGGTTCCGCTCGACCGCTTCTTCAATACGAGAAGTATTAGAATTGCGTAAATCCCGCCGCATGTATTTGTAGATCTATCTGTTCAGTTGCCTGTATGCTGTCAAATCAACTGAAGACTGCAGCTTCATTTCCCGTCTAACAGCCATAAGATTAAGAATGTGATCGGAGAGTTTTTTTTCTTCTGCGGTGGGTTTATGAGAACTTAGCTTCGACCAAATGGACAGTTTCCACAAGCTTGTCATTTATATCGTCCACTAAATTGCAATCTTCTAGGCACTGAAAACGGTTTTGTAACTCGAGCTGAAGTTTCGGGACTTTGGATTAGAGCACGAGGGGGACGGAGCATTGACTTCATTAGACGAGACCCCTCCAACTTATGTTTAGGTTCAGTGTGCCTTTAACCATTCGGTGATCGCTACCAGTTTTCACCCTCGCGACCACTGAGACATCACTGAACTGTCGTTGTTTGGTCGTCGTCAATGAGATTGACTTAATCCGGATTCGGGGATTACCGTGTCCTCCCCCTCTCTTCGGACCTCGGATAATCCTATGATATTCCAGCGCAACTTGTCTATCTCTTCTTCCAGCCCCAGGATCTTTTCGTCAGTACTCAGGGTGCGTGCATTATAAGTAGCCAGTTCGAGTTGTCGTAGGTGGCAACTAAACCTCCACCGGAGATTCTTAGCAGCCCCTGCCCTGCGGTTACCATCGTCGCCTACGCAGCCAAGAATAGCCGGGCCGCCGGGGACTGGGGGCCGTTTATTTGTTTCGTTGCTCATAGGGGGTATATTGCCATAGTTGCTACGCTTGGCGAGCGGGTTACACCGCAGTTTTTTATTGCTTTTTGCTTTATCAGAAAGACGCTGCTGCCCACCTTCTGCCTCAGTTTCCCTCTGTCGACTTTTACGACACCCACAGGAAGATATGGGGTACTGGGTATTCTTACCCGCCACTACATGGGGCGGGTAAGAATAAAACCTAATATAATGGACGTAAGTGTCAAAAGTTCTATAGTTTAATGTTATTAATGGATATGAAGTCGAATATAGTTTTTACAAATTGAGTGTTAACTATTTATTATTATTACTTTTATTATTGATTAAGAGTTTTGGCGTGGACGCTTTGTCCTTTAAACCATGTCTTCATTAATCTTAGTAATCCTGTATAGTACTGCTTCACATTTCTCAGTCCTAGGGAGATTTTGACAGCAACTTGAGCCAGCAGACAGTTGCCGATAGTATCTCAAATCGCCTAAGCAGACAAGACACCTTATCTTGAGATTCATATCACCATCGTAGCACTTGTTTCACCGTTTCCACTAAATCGCACTACTTATACATATCAAAATCTACTTCAAACCATTATTTAAACAATAATACAGGGGCAGCAATTCGCCACCGGTCAAGTTCGCGGCACCACTCTAAGTTAACTATGGAGTGTAGAGAGACTACAGAGAAGGAGGACCATCTCTATATTATGAAAAGTGTCCCTAAAAACGTGTCCAATAAGGGAGGCGCTGCAGTAGTATAGGATAAATTTAAAAAAAGCGCCAAAAGTAATTAGAGTAAGATGGAGAAGTAAACAAGGACCGACCAATCCGCTTGGTTTTGTACTACGTAAATAGTCATGAAATTTTTTAAATATTTGAATTCAGCTGACTTCACTCCGTTCATAACAGCTATCTTCATATCGTAGTTTTTCAGACGTCAGCGCTATTGTGGTAGGTTTTGGAACCTCTATTTTCAGTAAATAGTAGGACACTTTTTCAACTTTCGCCCCTTATAAGATGGTTCTCCTTGTACTCTATTCTCCATAAAGTTAGTAATTAGCAAGTACTCCATAAAGTTAACTTAATAATTATTATCTTTTAAGCACAGATTAAAATAAAAAATAAAGCCTGTCAATGTCAAGTGATAGTCAGGAGTTTTGGCGGGAAATTGACCGGCGGCGGTTTGCTGCTCCTGTATTATTGTTTAAATAATGGTTTGAAGTGGACTTTGATATGTAAAAGTGTTGCGATTTTGTGTATTAAGTGTCTACGCATGTGAACTATTAGTGGAAACAGTGAAACAAGTGCTCTGATGGTGATGGATTCTCAAGATAAGCTGTTTGTTTGCATAGGCACCTTTAGATACCATCGCCAACTGTCAGCTGTCTGCTGGATCAAGTTGCCGTCAAAATCTCCCAAGAACTGCACAATGTGACGCATCAACATATTGTGAAGCAGTGAATTATGAAGGATAATTACAAAAGACAAGGCTGTATGGCATAGTTCCTTTGCCTGCTCTGTCGAGCGAATAATAAAAACAACAACAACAACAAGTGATAGTCAAGTGTCAACAATGTCATTGTCACGTGGATTCTTTGAGCATAGAAAATAGCTATTTTCTATGCTCAAAGCTTGGGTTAGGTTATGATTAAGACTTAAGACCTAGAGACAGAGCAGAATAGTTAAGTTACGTTTATATTGTTCATATTTTTTACAATAAATAAATAATGCCTGATGCTGATATGGAGAGGGTCCCGAAAAATGGATCTGATTGCGGTACAAATACCGATGAAAATGAGGATGAAAACTCAAATTCTGGTACAGCAATACTTCAAAAGAAGACTAGAAAGCGTGGGATTGTTTATTTATCAACGATACCACCTTACATGAATGTTGCAAAGATTCGAGAAATTTTCAGTCAATATGGTGAAGTCGGTAGGATATATCTTCAACCGAGTACAAGTGCGTATCAGTGTTTCCTTTCTTATTTTGCAACTAAAATCTATTATTTTTAATACTGTGTAGTTTAGCCGTCTATGAAACCGATCAAATGTGATAGCTTAAATATTTAAAATAAAAACATATTTCTTACTAGCTAATACCAATAATAATATTAAATTTCACTGGTCTGTTATACGTAAATTGGAAAAAGAAGCAGGGTTTATGAACTCTACAAATTGTGTCCAGCTAATTATTTTCGCTGATAGACCACATAACATTGTTTCTCAAAATGCAACGCCAATTAAGAAAACTGCAAATTGGCTGATAAACTGAATCAGAAAACTAAAAATTCTTTGTCGTAATTTTTGGAGTTTTAGGCTCTTTTATTTTAAACATCCATAACTTGTAACTATAACTACAAATTTTCATATTATTCTTTTTTAATTTTTGTTGTGCTGTCTTAAAAACCCTGCTGTTATTAATGAATTCAAAATAAAACTCATGTTATATATATTATATTCTTAGAAAAAGTAATGCTTTTCTTCCAGCATTAGTTTACCAATATAACTAATCAGTAAGCATCTACTATTCATACTGTAAAAAAGTACTTAGTATAAGTTGGCAAGTTATTGTAAAAGCTGGTTTATTTTATCAAGATATTAAAATGGTATCACAAGGACCTCTTTTGCATAACACGTAAATACAAACTCTCCCACATGTTATCCATACGGGATGGTGGAAACTACCGACTTTCATTTGGCACAATCCTGTCACCACTCCTTTCACATTCATATAGCTATGTATCATATAAACGTGGTTTTTATTTAACCCTTAGCACCACACGCTACTTCTAGCCACACATCTACACAAGTGGGGGACCTATGTCTCCCTTAAAGATAAACCGTATAGCAGTACTATTTTTATCATAAGTCAGGATTTTTTTTACAAAATAAGTTAAAGGCATTTTATGAATGTAATAAAAATATTTATTTTTAATTTTAAACTTAAAAATTGCCACTTCTAGCATCTAACAAAAAAGGATACAAAAAACATGTTATATTTTTAAAGTTAATATTAGAGATCAAATATGTAACAAAAAATAAATCAAATTGTTTTTCTAATTACTCTCATTTTATAAACTACAAAACAGGTATAAAGATCTATGAAAATACTAAAGCAACTAAAATCACAAGTGGAATGCAAATAACACTTCGCGAATATCGAAATTTCAGTGAAATGTAGGAAAATGTAATTTCAATATCAATCTTTACTATCAAAATGATATGATATCATAAATGATACCTAAAACCTAACTATCAGTTTTCCTGACATTTTGTACATATTTTGACATCTATAGAATGAATATGATACACATTTTCATACATTTAGAGCACACGTTTGTTAAGTCAGAGTCAGATATATGGTTTTTTGATTATTTTGTGATCTCTTTATTGAATTGTTCTAAAATCAAATCAATCATATATTCAGAAAGCAGAAAAGAAGATTCATCAAATGGAGACATTTCGTTTTTGGCTTGAGCAGGACCCCTTAGTCCAGGCAAATAAATATACATGATCTTATGTGCTGAAAGCATAATCGCGATGGTGGTATTTTCGACTATTTATATCTATGTCTTCAATAAAATGCATTACTATTTCGGTCTTCGTGTTCATTATTTTATGTTTCTTCGTTTTCTGAGTCAATCTTCGTTTCTTCTTCACTTTCAGTGTTGTGATACTGTCTTCATACTTCGCGTCACTCAAATTCGATATGCTTTAGAAAAAATATCCTCAATTTCGTTTTCTTCTTACTCGAAGTCATTTAAGAGATTTTCTCTCCACTGAGGATTCAAATTTTATCCATACTCGTAGTACGCCACAAACTTACAAGAAAACAAATAAATAAGGAAATGAAAAAAAATTAATACTTACACTTGTGGGGGACCTTAGTCCCGTATAGATTTGTACCTGTTGAACTAAGCATGCTGGCCTGGTGCACGTTCCATACCCGTGAGACCTTGAGAGGAACTGGGAATACTTGGATGCTCGACCGTGTTACGCTTATAATAATAATAAGCCTTTTTTAATCTGAACTTCTTCGTTAAATATGAATACTAAACATGTTCTTATTTGTTATAATATGTCCCGAAGCTCAGTTTGCCTTTTGGCATAGGCCTCCTCTAACATTTTCCACTGGGACCTGTCCCGCACTACACTTCCCCAATAATGTCCAGCCGTGAGTTTTAAGTCGTCTTCCCATCTTGTTTGTTGGCGTCCTCTACTTCTCTTGCCATCTCTGGGATACCAGTCAGTAACACTTTTGCACCACTTCTCTTGTGGATCACGCATCATGTGACCTGTCCATCTCCACTTTGTTGGTCTATTCGGGTTATTATATCGACAACTTTGGTTTTATCCCTTATTATGCTACATCTTACTCTGTCCTGTTTTCTTATTCCTGTCAAACTTCTCTCCATGGCTCTCTGACAGCGTTCCAACTTTTCTCTGTGGTGTTCGGTGAGTGCCAAGGTTTCGCATCCGTAGAAGTATACATGTGTTGAAAACTTTCCTTTTTATTTGCATACTTACCTCCTTAGATTTTAAAACTTCTTTCAAAGACCAGTATTTCTTCCATCCATTTCCTATTCTTCGCTCAATTTCCTTAGTGGTTTGATCTTTGTGAGATATTATCTGTCCTAAGTAGATATAGTCTGACACATATTCGAGTGGTTGGTTGTCAATTTTTATAATTACTGGTTTAGAATTTGTAAGCAGTTTTGTTTTGTCTTTGTTCATGCTTAGGCCCACTTTCAGGCTTTCTTCATTTAGTGATTCTATCATTTTAACAAGACTATATCATCCGCAAATCTTAGGTGGTTCAGTTTTACACCCTGCTCATTGAGACCGTATTCTTCCCAGTCTAGTTTGCGGAAGATACTTTCCAGAACAGCCGAGAACAGTTTTGGCGAAAGAGGATCTCCCTGTCTTACTCCCCTCTCGATCTTGAACTTTTTTCCCAAGGTTTCTAGTTGGATCCTCGCTTCACCGTTCAAGTATATGTTCTTTATAGTATTGATATAATTTAAAGGTATCCCCTGCTGTTCTAGGCTTTCCCATATGGCTGTGTGCTTTATGCTGTCAAAAGCTTTAGAGTAATCGATGAATGCCATATAGAATTTTTTTATTAACTCATTATATTTTTCTACAATTTGTTTCACTGTGTGTATGTGGTCCAGAGTGGAGTAATTATTTCTAAAGCCTGCTTGCTCCCGTGGTTGATTTTCGTCTATCTTTTTGCTTATTCTTTCCAGGATAACTGGTGTTAGGTGTTACGCTTAAAACACTTAAAATATTATCGAATATATGTGCGGTGGGGGAGCTAGGTCCCCCACCTGTGGTGTTAAGGGTTAAAAGTGATTTTAGCCCTCTTTAATATATTACTATTTTGGTTGATTATCTGCTGTCTAGGGCGACTCTTGTTGACTCTGCTACTCAATTCTGCAGCATTGATTTACTTTGTCACTCTTTCCTCATTCATTATCTCTATATATGCACAAATCACTAAAACATTCTTTTCTTACTCCTGGTCACAAAATCATGCAAACCTTGACTATTATTTTTACTTTTATTTTATTTTACCATATTTATTTCATTGGTAAAACTATCAAGTGATTAAAAGCTCAAATATAAAATCTGTTTGTCACTGTATTATTTGTATATAAGAGAAATGTTTGTATATAATATTTTACAATTTTCAGAGCCTGGTGAGAAACGCAAGCATATTCCCAACCAATTCACAGAGGGCTGGGTTGAATTTCAAAAGAAAAAAGTTGCTAAACAAGTTGCAGCCAGTCTCAATAACACAAAAATTGGAACACGAAAGAAATCTCGCTATTACGATATGATATGGAATATTAAATATATACCAAGATTTAAATGGGTGCATTTGAGCGAAAGACTGGCATATGAACGAGCTGCAATGAAACAGAGACTTCGTGCTGAAATATCACAGGCTAAGAAGGAGGCTCATTACTTACAGAGTAATGTTGAGAAGAGCAAAAAGATAAAACGAAGGAAAGCTGCTGAAAATGGAGATTGATAAATAAATATTTTTTTTATATTCATGTTATTTCTTTTTTAAAATAATTGCCTACTTTACATTACTGCTACTTAATGAGGCTCAAAAGAATGCAAAATAAAATGTGTCATTATAGAAATAAATAAAAAACTATTGGTAAATCCAATTGTGCATGCCTTAAGCGCAAAAAATTGTGTAACCGAGATTTCTCAGCCGAAAAAAATTAATTATAACTAAACAAAACAAAAACTGCCATTTACATTCCATGGCTTCCCACATGATAAGATGAAGAGATTAAAAAATAGATTAGTTTGAAAAATTGATATTTCCGAAAGTTATCATATTTACCTCTCCATGTTGACTTGATAAATCCACACCATAAGCCACTAAAACCACTTTTTATGTAAGAATAGCAATTAATCGATTTAAAAAAAATTTAATAAGTTCAACAATCATTTAACTTTCTGACCATGTGCTTTTTATATCATTTATATTATGTACAATATGATTGTTACATACGATTTGATGTGAGAAAACATTGGAATCTTGATTTTAGGTCCTAGTAGAACATCCTACCCGCTTCGTGCTTAAGGCATGCAATTTACCTATTTAACTACTATAAGGTAGTACTTGACTATTACCCCACCTCATGGTAAGTGGTTGTGCAGCAGAAGCACACTGACATAACAAAAGCCTATTTATTCTTGCCTTTAAGACACCTACATTATAATTAGATGGAAAGAGAGATGCTGGTAAGTTATAACACTCCTTTGCTATACGTATACGTGGTAGAGCCATGCTGCAGCTATACTAGTAGTATAATTGTAACACGAATGGGTCGGCTCGACCGGGGAAGGACCACGCTCTCACAGAATACCAGCGTAAAATAGCAGCTTAACGCTGCTGTGTTTCGTAAGGTGAGTGTAGAGAACCGGACACCCTTTTACTGGAAATGAGGCATTCCATCTTAGTCCTCATGGGGGACAACACATCTGCATTTTGATTCGTAATCGAAGATAGATGTTTATGGGCCGCAGCAACCACTTACCATCAGGTGAACTGTGTGCTCGTTTGTCACCCTTATGCAAAAAAACGCATTATGAACGAAGAAGCAATCTGTTTGGTACGAATTTGCGGTATGTCGACAACAAATGGGTGGAGACCAGCCAAGCGTCTGATGGTGTTATGATGATATGAAGAGGTAGGAATAAGTCATGAGATTCCTGTAAAACATCGAAAGACTGGCTATTTTGTGCTTATGCTCGAGACTGATATTGGTTCTAAGTATTTTAGTGTCACCAATAACCATGTTGAATACTAAGGAGTGGATTTCAATGGATGGTTAACAAGTAACACACATTAAAAAAAAATGAAGTACTGTATCTCAGCTACTGTTTGTTTGTCCTAATAAAATGGTACAGTAAGTGAAAGGTCGATAAAGGAAAAAGTAAAACTATAAACTCATCATTTGTTGCTAAAGTTTACTCTTCCACTTATAATTTCTTCAATCCTCATCCTCTGTTGAGATGTGAGTGGATCTGGAGTGAGCTTCTGTATGTAGCGCCGTGATGGGATCTTGTGGGATAGAATGCCTTGGGAGAACTCTCTATGTACTCTAACGCCATCTAAAGCGTTGGGTTGCAGCCGCTCGAAACTGTGCAGCTCTTTCATAAACTGTTTGTGTTGCGCTACTTTTGCCCAGTGGTAGCGATGACGGCACACTACTCGACTGCAAAGTTGTAAATTTATATTAACTTAATGGGAATAATTATTTGGTCTTGATGTAAACAATCAATTCTATGTTATTCCATTATAGTATTATAAAACTAGCCTTGAGAGAATGCTACGAAATTATTGTCTTCTGCAAATATTAATTAATTAATTGCGAGGCATCTACGAGCTTGCTTTAATACTGCTCGTATTAAAGAAGCGATCGAGCGGAACCAAGGCTCCAAAGTCTTTGCTAGAGATCTGTCTGCCAGAAAGAGCCAACTGTCGAAGCCGAAGACCGAGTGTGGCAGCGTCGTTTCCGGGACACCTGAGATTTTGAGTGAGATTGAGAGGTTTTATGGGCAGCTGTACACGTCATCGTTGGAGCCACACGCAAGTGTGAGTAACGATCCAAGAGCGAGTCTTATCCGAAGATATCCCGGACGTCAGTCTGAGCGAGATTAGAATGGCTCTCCAGCACCTTATAAACGGCAAGGCCCTAGGCGAGGATGGAATTACAGCGGAGCTTCTGAAAGCGGGTGGAAAACCGGTACTTGAGGTCCTTCAGAAGCTCTTTAATTCCGTCCTCCATGGTGGCACTACACCGAAGTCGTGGAGCAGAAGTGCGGTTGTTATTCTTCAAGAAAGGTGACAACGATCTCTTGAAGAATTACAGACCGATTTCCCTTCTGAGCCGCGTCTACGTGCTGTTTTCGAGAGTCATTACGAATCGTCTCGCGCGCAGACTTGTCGACTTCCAGCCTCCCGAACAAGCCGGTTTCCGAAAAGGCTTTAGCACCATAGACCACATACATACCCTTCGGCAAATTGTACAGAAGTCCGAGGAGTACAATTTGCTACTATGTCTGGCGTATGTGGACTATGAGAAAGCCTTTGATTCCGTCGAAATTTGGGCGGTGCTGCAGTCCCTTCAGCGATGCCATGTTGACTGTCGGTATATCGAAGTGCTGAAGTGCTTGTACAGTAGAGCTACGATCGCTATCCGAGTACAGAACCAGAGTACGAAACCTATCCAATTGCAGAGAGGTGTAAGACAGGGTGACGCGATATCCCCGAAACTCTTCACCGCTGCATTGGAAAACGTTTTCAAGCTTCTGGACTGGAAAGGATACGGTATTAACATCAATGGCGAGTACATCACTCACCTTCGATTTGCCGACGATATAGTCCTTATGGCAGAATCGCTGGAGGACCTAAGCACTATGCTCAATGACCTCAATAGTGTTTCCCAACGGTTAGGTCTTAATATGAACATGGACAAAACTAAGATCATGTTTAATGTCCATGTCACACCTATGCCGGTAGATGTTGGGGACACTAATGTCGAAGTTGTTGACGAGTATGTTTACCTGGGACAAATAGTCCGACTAGGTAAGTCCAACTTCGACCGACCGAATCGGCGGATTCAACTCGGTTGGGCAGCGTTCAGTAAATTACGGCACATTTTCTCGTCAGGTATACCTCAAAAGTTGAAAACAAGACTGTACAATCAGTGCGTGTTGCCAGTGATGACCTATGGTACTGAGACGTGGTCCTTCACTGCTGGCCGGATGAGGAAGGTCGCACAGCGAGCTATGGAGAGGGCTATGCTCGGAGTTTCTCTGCGTGATAAACTTAGAAATGAGGATATCCGCAGTAGAACCAGAGTGACCGATATAGCCCAACGGATTAGTAAGCTGAAATGACAATGGGCCGGCCATATACGTCGAAGAACCGACAACCGTTGGGGAAAAAGGGTTCTCGAGTGGTGGCCTCGTACCGGCGGACGAAGTGTAGGGCGTCCCCCCACTAGATGGAGTGACGACCTGGTAAGATATGCAGGAAGTCGATGGATGCAGGTGGCTCAGGACCTTGCTTTGTGGCATTCTTTGGGGGAGGCCTATGTTCAGCAGTGGACTTGTGAAGGCCTGTAATGATCTACAACTATACTACTACGGCTACTACAACGGCCGCTAATAAGCTTGCAATATTACGTGGTTGATATTCATGTTGCAGCTATATTAATTGTATAGTTGTAGCACGAATGGGTCGGCTCGACTGAGTAAGGACCACACTCTCACAGAATACCAGCGTAAAATAGCAGCTAAATACTACTGTGTTACGTATGGTGAGTGTAGAGACCGGAACCATTTTTACTGGAAAAGAAGCATACCATTTTAATCCTGACGGCTGACAATGCATCTGCATTTTGATTCGCAAAACGAGCAAACCACAGCAACCCCTTACCATCAGGTGGACTGTGTGCTCGCTTGCCACCCTTATTGTATAAAAAAAATGATAGAACTAATTCTTTCTTGGAAGAGAGCTAAGCTGAAGAGTTGACTGGCAATGATTGATGGCCACCTAGCCAGCCTCTGTGGTCAGATTAGCTTCAGAAACAATGCGTTCTAGGCTTCTAGGATCCAGTGTTTATTTTTATTTTATGTGTATTATATAATTGATTTTCAGGATTGCATGTACTGTGATTATTTCTTGTTTTATTTCGTTATTTGGACCACTGAATGAGTATTCTTATTCATGGTAGATATAATTTACCTTCTAATCGTTTTTTTAAGCTATCATAATGGTTCCTATACTGACACGAGCCGAGAGAATGCTTTTAAAATCTTTGCTCTTAATAATTCATTACAATCATCTAACCTTCTGTTTCATAAAATTTCAGGTACAATTTTAGATATCACTGCATCATCATCATCACAGCCCTTCACAAGTCCACTGCTGAACACAAACCTCCCTCAAGGAATGCCACAAAGCACGGTTCCGTTATAAGATGTTACTTAGAGTACTGTAATATGTTGCCTATGCCGTAAGATGATGGCATAATTTTTTATTATATAAAAGGAATATACCTTTTTTCCCCATCTATTGTCGGTTCTTCGAGCCATATATCCGACCCATTGCTACTTCAGCTTACTGTTCGTAAAGGTTCTCGAGTGGCAACGTCGTACTGGTAAGCGAAGTGAAAGACTGCCTTTTTTTATAGGATTATGGTGACGATACGATTACGAAACACAGCAGCATTAAGCTGCTATTTTACGGTGGTATTCTGTGGGAGCGCGGTCCTTCCCCGGTCGAGCCGACCCATTCGTGTTACAACTATACCAGAAATATAGCTGCAGCATGGCTCTACCACGTATAAAAGCCTTCCATTAGATGGAGTGACTATCTGGTAAGAGATGCAGGTGGCTCAGGACCGCGCTTTGTGCGTTTTTTAGGAGAGGCCAATGTTCAGCGGTGGAATTTTGATGAGCTGTAACGATATTGATGAAATGGTTGCAGGAAAACCTAAAAGCATACACAACTGCTACTGCAATAGTTATATAGTAATAATGTTAGTAGGTATATTTAAGTATCAGAAATACCAACCGTTACCGTTAGACTATTAAAGTATACGGCTAAACATAAGCCTCCCTCATAGATTGCCGCATACGGGGAATATTTGCCATAGTTGCCACGCTTGGCAAGCGGGTTGGCAACCGCAGTTTTTTTATTTTTAGTTGTTATTAGGAAGACGCTGCTGCCCGTCTCCTGATTTGTTTCACTCTGTCATACGACATCCACATGATGGTATGGGGTAGTGGATATACTTAAACCGCCACTACACGGTAATCAGAAATACCAAAACCGGTAACAATTAATTTGCAAAGGGTTTGATTCTGTCTAATTATGTTAAATGTTCCTATTATGGAAAAGTCAAGTAGGAAACAAATACAGATTGAGGACAGTTTCTCTTTAAAACTGATCTTTAACGATGGCATGTCCGAGTACTTAGAGTCCAAGTAGTCGGACATGCCATCGTCTAAACTAAGCCTTAGATAAACTGGTCAAATTCATTCATTGTAGGAGCTAACAAACACAAATTGTCATTTTACATTTGGCTGAGCGAGTGTCACAACTCTGTGTTAGCGCATACTCTCCTGTGAAACCGGCCTAGGAGGACGTTAAATCGACTGACGCAATATTTACTTACTAAGCTAAGCCCAACTTGGTGTAACTAGGGTAAATGCTGACATCCGACCGCGCCAATTCTGGGAATCCTGGGTATAATGGGACTTTTCTATATTTCTTGGAAGTATCAGCCGTTTCCTTCGTTGTCATGTTGTGTTTTAATTACAACCTCGTTCTCGGGATCGAAACCCGTTGCTTAAATTAATATTACATAATAATTTAAAGTTGGCGTTAAACTCCTGTATCGTTGCTATGGTAACCCCGCCTAAGGGTATTAGTGTTCTGTGATGGTAACAAGTAAGTCATAGATTACTTGAAGTACTAGTTTCCAGTTTATAAAAAGTACTCTATGGTACTAGTAATAAGAAAATCTAAAAGGTATAAACCACGGAAGTATGTTTGTACGAAGTATAAACTTATCTTGTATACATGTTAGCCAATAGCATTGCCTCCTCTTACATAATGAGAAGCGAAGCGAAGCCTCTGACTTGGGCTTCCACGATGAGTCGACCAAATTCACAATCACATAATAATATTATTTTATTACATTGATGTAAGTCTCACACTAAAACGTAGTGATTATAGGTACCTATACTCTTTGCCTCATACTAACATGTGGTAAAATTTAAAATTTGTACAACCGACTTCAACATAAATAAAATGAGAACATCATCAATGTAGTCAATTAAATACGCATTATTAAGGATAACTCAAAAACTGCTGGTCAGATCTTGATCAAATTTATATGGGACAACATGATTTAGAGTTTAGACAGCCCTGGGCTAACTATAATATGAAACGGGCCTTTTCTGTCTGTAACTGTGCCCAGCCCACGAATATACTACTACTACGCGGCTTATTCTATTCCAAATTAAATCAAATTTACTGATAGTAAGTGTGGACAATCGCCCATGAACAACTAAAACACCAGGGTAATTGCAGATGCGTTACCAGCCTTTTTAAAAGGAGTAAGCTAGATTCTTGAAGGTATCTAAGTCGTATCACCCCAGAAAAATCGCCGGTGGTAAATGATTCCCAAAGAAGTGTTATGAAGAAAATAAAATCGCACAATCATGGTGTACCGCCAAACATTCAAATTATGGTGAGTTTTGTCCCGATGTGCGTTGGTGGAATTTGGCGGCTGAAATTAATCCGAAAAATGTGCCTAAGTACTCTCCGTGGAAAATGCGATAGAAAATGTAATGGTATGCAACATCTCTTCTCATTGTTAGTGAATCGAGCCGATCAGAAAGAACTCGGTCTACGACGATTCGAAACACTCTTCGCTGGATGCGGTCAAGTGGAAAGATCTGGTACTAGGATGGCCCGGTTCCGAAATGAGAACAGTACTCCATGTGAGGGCGAACTTGCGGCCTTGTCAAGTTGCTAACGGTGTGCCAGTATGAAATACTGTCCTAATGTGCAGAGCACTCCAAGCTTTTCGGACGCCAATTTAGCCTTCCCTTCGAAGTGACCATGAAATTGAACGTCATTCGATATGTCGATGCCGAGGATTCCGTATGCTGGCTGAGGTGGCATGGAGAGTGCCCTGAAATTGAAGAGATACAACAAAGGGGTTCTTTTTCGCGGTAAATGCGCAAACTTGTTACTTCTGAATTTTAAGCTGGACTAGAGTCGTCCCCAATCCGAGATTTTGTTTATTAAAGACTCGACTTCAGACACAAGTTTGTTCCGATTCTAGATGACATGTTCCCGAGAAATATTAATACTGCCCGTGTAAAAAGCATCAAGCAGATTTATGGAACACTAGCATTAATAGGCTCGTTGTCGGAGTACACACTGTCTATTACGACCTTGATGCTCCGATGTGCAAGAAAACTAATGATCCAATCGCGCAATTTCTCGGGAAGCCCATAGAAAGCGGGAAGCTTCTAAAGAAGTGCTTTGTGCCGAAGCCCATCGAAGGTTTTCGCTATGTCAAAAGTCACTACCAAGGCTTCCCTCTTGGACTCTACTGCTTTTTACCTACTTACTACTTCTTATCAGTGACAGAAAAAAAGAGGCGATGGTGATAGTTGGACGGGTCTGCTCGGTCGCCATTTTAGGGATTGAGTGCACTAAAGCTGTCTTCCATAAGTTCAGAATTATACCAAAGGAGTGAGAATATCGAAAAAGACGCCTTAGAATAGGTGCTTATTCCGGAGCGCACGTCTTCAGCACAATAGGAGGGACTCCATCAGATCAACTCGATTTGTTGACATCCATGGAGATTGAGTGATTTGCACACTGAGCGCCGTGTAAACCGCACATCCAGAATGGAGCAATCACACCGCGAGACGGTTGGCGGTGTGTACCCCCGTCATCGAGAGTCGAATTCGACTTCGAATGAAAGTCGACCTAAAAGAGAACCTTTTAGGTTCTTTTTTAGATCTACTTTCTTTTTGCGGAGTGGCCCAGTGAGTCGTTCTCCCTGTGCAAAGATAGAATCGAAGGCTGACAGAAGTTCCCTTGGACAGCCTTGGCAAAATACCTTAATAAAATTAAAGGTAGAGGGGAGAGCTTGCTTGCAAAATTGCTTCGCCTTGCTCTTCCTGTGCGTGTTTAAAGTTCTTCCCATATCGTCGGAATATTGCAGGCAAAATGAAATATACTATCGATTCACGGGCGCTGCGAAGTGATGTTGCATCCATTTGCATTTTCTATCGCATTTACCACAGGGAGTGCTGTGACGAATTATTCGGATTAATTCGGGTAAATTTCACCAACGCACTCGGTGACAAAACTTACGATACCATCCACACCAGTGGATGTTTGGTGGTCGTTTATGTAATCGTTTATCACCGGCGATTTTTCCGGACCTATACGACTTAGAGACCTAGAAGCCGGTAACGCACCTGCAATTCCCGTGGGGTTGCAGTTGTTCATGGGCGGCGGTCGACACATTATTAAGTGAGCCGCATGCTCGTTTGCCTCCCTCTTTTATACTTATATATTTAAAAAACAAACCTAGCCGACAGACGTTGTTCTGCCCGATAGGTTGTTAGACGCGATGGGCATAGATAATATACTATAAAGGTATATAAGTTTTACACTTCGGTCTTTTTAATGTATATATAAAAATTATTAATAACTCAACCACAGTTTTTTATAAATTCTATAAATCCAGCTATCATCGAGTCTAGATTTTGTGATTTTCTTTTTTGGCAGTTAACCAACCCATAAATTATATTGTGAATATGAGTCAGCTTTGTTCATAAATATAGAATTTGTTAATAATTTTACTACAGCAGCACCTATTGGAGCCTATCTTAACTATGAACCATAGTCTCGATTTAATTATTATTATGCCTAAATGACCTTAATGTACTTTTTAGTTACATGTTCACAACACAGAGTACTTTTTATATACCTAAAATTCACAAGCAGATGCACAAATTAATTTATCTGATATGATGGAAAAAAAAAACAATTGTTTCTTTATGTGATATTTGTACAGTCTCGTCAAGTTTTGAGGTATGCCTGACGAGATGTGTCGTAATTTCCCGAACGCTGCCCAGCCGAGTTGAATCCGTCGATTTACCTCTCGGTCGAAGCTGGACTTACCCAGTCGGACGAACTATTTGTCCGAGGTAAACATATTCGTCAACAACTTCGAGCTTTGCGCTCCCAACAACTACCTACCTAGGTGTGACATGGACGTTATACATGATCTTTGTATTGTCGAATGGATTAGTAAGCCGAAGTGGCAATGGACCAGCCATATAGCTTGAAGAACCGACAAACGATGGGGAAAAGGGTTCTTGAGTGGTAGCCTCGTACCGGTAGGCGAAGTGTAGGGCGATGACTACATGGAGTGACGACCTGGTAAGACATGCATGAATCGATGGATGCAGGTGGCTCAGGACCATGCTTTGTGGCATTCCTTGGATGAGCCCTATGTCCAGACTTCTGAAGGGCTGTAATGATGATGATGATGATGCAAATTATGAGATAGCTATACCGAACACGCGCTCGGAAATAAACTATGTAAGCGCCAAAATTTTTTTTTTGACAAAACTTCTTTATGTATTAAAATATGGTTTAAAAATAATTCCATGAAGTGGCATGGAGGAATGTAATTAACAGAGCCAACTTTCCAATTTTTTCTAACGAGAAAATTACGTTATCGTGTTTCCCTTTTATGTAATCCAAGGTTATATAGTAAAAAATCATATACCAAAAATTTGAACTGTAATTTATAAAACTTCAAAAAATTTGTGAAATAGAAAAACCACCAAATTTTCGAGTGAAACTCATATAGACTGGTAAAATATTTAATTTGATTCATTGCATTACAGCTAAGCTAATTTTATTAATTAGTCAACCTCTTCACTTCCCTTTAAAGCTATATGTGATGGAATCCATTGCATTGTATACAGTATAAAAACATTTAGAAACAGCATGGTAGCATTCACCTTATTTTCAGGGATTATTATCAGTCATGTACTCTTTAATAGTATTACCCTTTACCGTTATTAAACATTTGGTAGTTATATAAAATTTTTGCTTCATTAAGAAGCTTTTTGATAGATAGGTCTTGCTTTTCTGGGACTTTTATTGTAAAAAACTACATTGCCCCAAATTAGATATCCATGTTCATAAGAGTTTGAAACAAATCTAAATAAAATAAAAAGTGTTGCAGGAAACAATATGATATGAAATCAACGTGTATTTTTATGGTTACATTTTTATGCTACATATCACTTGAGTTTAAAGCTAATTCATTAAAGTGCAAATGATAAACAGAGTAAGATAAGATAAACAGTTTATTCAAATAGCAATAATAATAATTATTAAATAAGTCTACTTCACAGAGCCTTGCAGCAGTTGTTGAATCCAGTTGGATACATGTTACTTCCACCTTTGGAATCCCTATTTTGATTAATAACATAAGATGGCGTGCATCTAGGACGTCGCTGTTATGGCGGCGATTCGGCTCTTACACACACAGTCATTGAATTGATTCACTAGCACTGAACACAGAAGTGATTTGTTGCTGTTTGTACTATAGCATTCTAGCATCTGAAAATAAATAAATTTTAATTAGCCGTGGTAGTTCGGGGGCTAAGTGCTTGCTGTAAATTACACAGTACGCTTGCAACCGTGGTTCGATCTCCGCCAGCACCAATGAAATTGTTAATTGCGATTTTAAGTGCTTATTTACTACCTGCACTTTAACATCGTGAGGAAACTGGCATGTCTGAGAAATAGGAAAAAATATTATGAAGATATGTGAAGTCCATCGACACGCATTGGGCCAGCGTGGCAGACATTTCCTTATCCGAAAAGCCACTCAGAAATGAGAGGAGGTCAGTGCCCAACAGTAGGATGTATATAGACTTCACCTTTACTTTTTATTTGGGTGGTAAGATTATATAACCTAGCAGTAACAATACATGGTTACTAAGCCCTACTATAAAATCCAGACAGAGAAAACATTTGTGTAAAAACAGATTATTAAATTGACACTGCATATTAAACTACATTCTGCTACTATTGCATCTCACATTGTTTAGTATATTAAGTGCTATTTGTGTGTCATGGCACTATAATTATTATCTTCTGTGTCATTGGTAGCCTATGATAATTCCAGCTAGGATGACATCTATGAAACTATTAACAATATTGAGTTATGTGAATATGTCAACTTAGTCAAATCATCTTTTAGTATTCTAACTTGACAAAAAATATTTTATGTATGTATCAAACACATTGAATATTTTGATGTTTATAAGTTATACATCATTATCAGGTTTTATTTCTTATAGCTGCTCGACTTTGATCTATTTTTGAGATGGTTCTTTCATTAACCTCTAGATGCCTGAAAAATCTTACTGACATGATTGATGAATTGACTGCAATGATGACTGGATTGCCACCTGATGGTAATTGAATGCTGAAGCAAATAGACATCTACATTTAACCTCAATTTAGAGTCAAAAAGCAGATGCGTTGTCACCCCTGAGGACTAAGATGGAAGTGCTTAATTTCCAGTAAAAAGAGCCTCCGGTTCTCTATACTCACCATACAGAACACAGCAGCATTAAGGTGCTATTTTATGCTGGTATTCTGTGGGAGTGTAGTACTTCCCCTGTAGCATAAATCTACCCCATTACTTACAGTGGATGTGCTATTTTATAGAAATAAATATAGGGCATGTAAATTTAAGAGAAAATTTGTCAGTGATCTCCTTTACAGAAGGCACTGGAGCATGGCATGCTACAAAATATGTTGCATATTCTTTGTATATGGATTACAGAATAAATAAAAACTGAAGATGAAGTTTTCACAAATCCTTGTAAAAGAATACCAACTCATATCAAGGATGAATTATGAAATTAAAAAAAAAAAAACCATTCAAATGTAGAGAATAGAGAATATAGAAAATTAGATCTGCTTTGGATCCTATAACTAATTAAATTAAATTCAAACCTAAGCATACCAATGCAGGATTTCTAGATACTGTAAGCTTGTTCTGCTTAGATCTGACCGAATTTTAATGTTTAAAAGCAGATAGTAGCTGGGCTAACTATAGTATCGGGATGTCAAACATCTCTGCCAAAACATGACCTCCCAAAATGTCGGGAATTAAAAATAAGTTAAATTAAAAGTGTTAAAATCTGTTATTCAATACATATAATAGTCCATAAAGCAAATAATATTAATTTATTACATATATAACATATTATATCTGTATTGAATTTATTTAACTTCATTCAAAGGTGGGCAAAGCTTTTTATATTCATTACAGTTATTAAGCAAGTCTATTCCTGAATATACTTTCTCTTTGTAGTTCTGAGTCACCTGTATCTTTTGATCTCCTGCCTGCTTAATCATGTTACACTTTTGTTGCTTAAAGTATAAAACAAGAAATGAAAACAATAATTGTCTGTACCTTAGCCTTTTCTTCTTGACATGGTGGTAATTTGTAAGCTACTTTATCTGCTTGCACTATGTTGAACAGCTCATTTGCTTCATTTAAAGTTTTTTGATATTCTAGTTGCATACCACTACTTATTTTTTCATGTGTTCTTTTTAGATTTTCAATCCGTCGCGCCCAGTATGCTTCTTCAGCTGCGTAATCCTGGTTACTCTTTTGCGATTCGTAATTTGGTGGTGGTGCGTATTGCAAGGGGGGCTGTGGTTGCGCAGCTTGCTGAAAGTGTAGTGAATTTCTACATTATATTAAAATTTAACATGTGAGAACCACACTGCAAATTTATTATATTGCAATATGAATGGGCTGAGTTCACTATGAAAGGACAACACTTTTACAATATACCAGAGTAAAATATCAGCTTAATAATGTAATTTATTATAGTGAGTGTAAAGAACCAGAGATCCTTTTAATTGATGATAAGGCTATTTTAGTCTTCAGTGCTGACTAACACTAAAAAATTACTAATCTACTACTAAAAAGTTAAATAAAGCCTTCTTAACTACACTAATGATGAAAAGGTTATTGACAGACCTTTGATGGGCCAGTGGAAACAATAATTTTCCTACTTTTGTGAAAATATAACTCCATTTATAATTTTAATGCCATCAGATTTATTAATTATGGTTCCAGTATACTTTGATAAACAAATCAATGTTAAGTTTTTTGGGGCTTTCTCGTTTAATAATATATCTATACAAATAAATAAAATTGAAGTGTCTGTTTGTAATGTCAAAATTAAAGTTTTTTACTAAATGCATATGAAAGCAAATACGGTACTTATAACTAAAATACAATTTTTGTCTGTCTGTTTGTTCCGGCTAATCTCCGAAACGGCTGGACCGATTTTGACGGGACTTTCACTGGCAGGTAGCTGATTTCATACGGAGTAACTTAGGCTACTTTTATTTTAGAAAAAGAATTAGGGTTCCGCCCAAAAACATAAAAACCTTAACACGCGAGCGAAGTCGCGGGCAACAGCTAGTATCTAATAAATTTAGGTATTGGAATCTCTATTGTGGCACTATGTTACATATGGAAATTGTAATAATTTAACAAAATATTAAGAACACAACCTTTTCAACAGATCCCTAATGAGAAAAGTAAATATATATATAGTTAAATTTTTAAATGTGCAAATGTAGTGCTAGCTATTGTAAAATTTAATGAGCCTAGTTCAAATAAGAATATGTTTCTAACCTACAATATTTTTTTCTTTTCAAATAAAAAGAAAAAAATGTAATAAAAAATAATGAGAAGTTTTCTTGAGAAAACTTCTAAATTTTTTGTGTATGCAGTGTGTGACATTGACAAAATTATGTAATGAAAAAACATAATTACTTTAGCAGACAGCTGTGCCTGTATCCGATCTATTGCTTCTTGAGACACTTGAATAGTCTCGTTCTCTACACTTAGTTTTCGTGTGCTCTGAGAGCCTCCCATGTTAAAAAAATATATTATTTTCGATTATTATCATTGGCAAACACCATCAAAAAGACATTTTCATTTTTGACAATATGACAGATCACGTACTGCAATGTCTTCTACCAGTGTGACCATCTTTAAAATACAGATCCTGCCTTACTTTGGTTAAAAACCTGCCAAATCCTGGCAAAGTCTGTAGTGAAAAATTCCTAAATACTCCCAACTTTATTTACCTAATATTTTATATAAATGCTATGTTTTTTTTTAAAATTAAAATTAAACATATCTTTCGTTGGTTTGAATGCAATGCAATCGCCATGCGCACCAATGCTTTTTTTAACGTGAAAGATAGACGCTACATGTCTGTTTATAAATCTGTTTCGTGTTTTTGTCTTAATTAAATTTATTTGAGAGAATATTCTTTCGCATGCTGAATCCACTCATATTTTTTGATGTTTACTAGTAGCGATTTTTGGGTTGCTGTTAAACGTTAAATAAATTTTTAAATAAAACTAATTTTACGGATTTTATCGCGTATATTAACTTATTTTTATATTCCCGACGTCTCGGGTGCTTTCCAGCACCCGTGGTCACGGGGTCTGAGGTGTTTGACGTTCTGCTGTCATAGTTAGCCCGGCTATTAAAAATATTAATGTAAAACAAAAATATTATTTTTTAAATTAATGGGCTACAAATATACTTAACATTGCTGACAGATAATTAATGTAACTACACTTAATTATGAGGTTGCCACAGGTATTTGGCATTTTACTTTACTGAATCCACCAATTTGGATCCTTTAGTGGTATTGAGAAAATATTTGAAATTTAAACCATTTTCGTCAAAGTTCAGTCTAATTAATAACTCAGCTTTTATTAAATCAATAGCCATACGATTTCTCTCTTCGGTATATAAACTAAACACACTTTTACATTAAGCATTGCTTACAGGTATTGACAACACAAATGATACAATTTTTTTTAATTTTTTGACTTCATTTTGGTTGCATTTTACCACTGACGATAATACGACACGTGTTTCGCCTCTACACGGTTAGATCTTAGCGGTTAGCCACCGTAGAGTCTATATCACCTGAGGATGCCTCGTGTAGAGGCGAAACACGTGTGGTATTATCGTCAGTGGTGTGTCTTGCCTAGTGTAGTGATGTTGGGAGTAGCGGTGCTGGGATTAGTGGTGACGGGGATAGTGCACGCAATTGAGGGAGGGAGGGAGGTGCTCTTCATACTAGATAAGACACATCATTTTATTTTATAAATTTTTTAAATTTTTCTAAAAGCTTTTATATAATGGATTTCCGCAAAGGATTTCCGAAAAAAAAAACTACTTTACAGCTAGCCAGCTATACAATAAACGACCTAAAGCAGGTAAAACAGACAGTCATCTTGTTGGGACATGACGAAGAAGATTTTTGTACTCGACACTTGCAAATAAGAAATATTAGTTTGAAGCTTCGGAGATTTCCCTTTGCTGCGAACTGCATTGTGCAACCACACTAGTGAAACTTCGTCGAACTCTTTGTTGTTCAATTTGTTGGCCATACCGAGTTTTCATCTTTTCAGACATTTGCTGGCCCGATTGTCTGACGTGCTCATATGTGTCATTCATTTTGTTCCGCAAGTCATTTGCATTATCGGTTATATACTGCGTGGGACATAAGTTGGTATTCCGGTGATCAGGTCTGCAGGCAGCCGTAATTCTCTTCGAAAGTTTGCGACAGTTTGTTAAACGTTGGACGTGGTAGAGACATGCTGCAGCTATATTAGTGGTATTGTTATAGCACGAATGGGTCGGCTCTACCGGGAAGAGCCAGCTTAACGCTGCTGTGTTTCGTATAGTGAGTGTAGAGAACTGGAGACCCTTTTTACTCGAACCGAGGCATTCCATTTTAGTCCTCACGGGTGACGACGCATCTGCATTTTGATTTGTAATCGATCATAGATGTAGATGTCTATGGGCTACAGCAATCACTTACCATCAGGTGGACTGTATGCTCGTTTGTCATCCTATTCCTATAAAAAAAGCTGGTGTCACTGATCTACTTTCGTGAACAGCGCTTCGATATGACAACCAAAACAGTTGTATGTGTTTGTCCTAGTCTCGCTTTCGTCTCGCTACTTGATCGCTGTAAATCTCTAAAGGTACTCCAAAACGACAGAAGACTTCATGAACTAGTTTATCTGCAACTGTTGAAGCTTCTTGATTTGAAATGGCAAAGACTTCTGGCCACTTAGTGAAGTAATCCATCACAACTATGAAATACTTGTTACCACTTTCCCTTTCCGCAAACGGCCCCGCAACGTAAGGGCTATCCTTTCCCATGGTGCACCAACATTGTACAATTTCTATGCACCTCTACTACGGGTCTGAGGTCCCTTTAATGCCGCACAACTTGTACATTTGCGACACCAGTCCTGTCACATCGTCATGACAATGAACCCAGTAAAACCGTTCTCGGATCTTCAGTAGAGTTCGTTTAACTCTCAGATGGCCTCCTGAATAACCATTACGGTATAGCTGTAGAACATCCGGTACTTTAGCTTTAGGAGCAACCATTTGCGAATCATCTCTGAGACGTCGCTCCACTCGGGCTTAGGAGCACTGGCCTTCATCTATCCCAATCGACTTAATGTCCGAATCTTCCTGCTGTACATGTTGTAGGCTGTCCTTCCACTCATTGCTGAGCTGGTCTGTTCTGAGTATCGTCAAAGATACCACTTCCTTACCATCTTGCCTAGTACAATGCTTGCAATCTTCAGGACAAGGTCTTCTTGACAATGCATCTGCTTTGCCATAAAATGTCCCGCTGCGATGTTTGATCACAAAGTCGTATTCCTGCAGTAGTACAATCCATCTCGCAACTTGTCCTTCTGGATTTTTGAACTGCAATAGCCATTTCAGTGTAGCATGGTCAGTTCGTATGTGAAATTTCCGCCCCAGAAGATATTTGCTAAAATGCTGCAACGACTTTACCACAGCAAGCAATTCCCGTCTTGTGACACAATAGTTAATTTCCGGCTTTAACAACGACTTGCTAAGTACGCTATTACAACCTCTTGGTCACCATTCCATTGAGACAACACACCGCCAAGTTATATATCACTTGCGTCTGTGTCAACTTTAAATTCGTTTCCCGCATCAGGGTACCCCAAAATAGATGTTTTGCACAGATGGTATTTGAGCTCCTGGAATGCGATCTCGCAACTTTCATCCCAGCAGAAATGTCGCTTCTCCTCGGTTAACTTGTGCAGAGGTTTGGCTATATCTGCAAAGTTCTTCACAAACGGCCGATAATAGGAACACAAACCCAAAAATGCTCTAACCTGCGTCTTGTGTTTTGGAACCGGCCAATTCTTGACAGCGGTGATTTTCTCTGGATCTGTGCGGATACCTTCTGCCGACAATACATAATACCCCAAAAAGCTAACTTGCCGTTTGAATAGTGAACATTTCTTAGGACTCAACTTGAGGTTGGCACTCTGGACCTTCATCAGCATGGGTTCCAGGTTTTGAAGGTGTTTCTCAAACCTACGACCTACGATGATGATGCCATCCAAGTAGACCAAACAGGCATTGGCAGTTAGCTTGATAAGTACAAGCTCCATCAAACTCTCAAACGTTGCTGGAGCATTGCACAATCCAAACGGTATAACTTTAAATTGCCACAGACTTTCAACTTGCCAGTAGGCGTCTGCTATCTCTAAAGTTTCAAAGTTCTCCTCCTTGTGTGCTTGTTTATCCAAAATGTGTCATTTTTTTTCTTTCAGCAAATCATGAGTTCCGAAAACAATAATGGTATCGACTATTGGTTGTTATGCATTTCTATTGACTTCAATTATTTTTGCGTGATTTGTTCGTATAGCAAACCTGTACATTGGTTTTTGCGTTGCCTAAAAAAATTGGCAGGCGCACACGACTCTCTGTGCCATTTACTATTTAAAAGTACTTTACAATAATTGTGTATATCCATAGCTGGGCACCGTTAAACAAATAATTAACTTCGTTAATCGCTAATCCGTTACTAAAAAAGTTAACTTCGTTAAACGTTAAAGCGTTACATTTCGGAAGATTTAACGCAAGTTAACGTTAATCGTTAATCCGTTAACACGTGATTAAAATTGCATTTATTGCGCTAATGATCTACTTACAAAAACTTTTTTTTATAGAAGAGGGGGCGAACGAGCATTTTGCTCACCTGATGGTAAGTGACTACCGCCGCCCATGAACAACCGCAACACCAGGGGAATTGCAGGTGCGTTGCTAACCTTTTAGAAAGGTGTAAGCTTTTTTCTTGAAGGTCCCTAAGTCGTATCGGTCCGGAAAAATCGCCGGTGGTAAACAATACCACAGAGAAGTTGTACGAGGAAGAAAACTCCTAGTAAAATGTACAGTGGTGGACCGCCAAGCATCCAGATAGTGAGAATGGTATCGTAAATTTTGACGCAATGTAAGTTTGTGAAATTTGGCGGCTGGAATTAATCCGAACAATTCCTCGGAGCACTCCCCGTGGTAGATTCGATAGACAATGCAAAGGAATGCAACATCAAACAGAGCCAGTGAATCGAGCCGATCAGAAAGAACTCGGTCGTCGACGATTTGAACTGCTGTGCGCTGGATGCGATCAAGTGGAAGGAGGATACTATTCTCATCTCTGGGCCGGTCAAGTGGAAGTAGCTGGCACTGGGGAGCCCCTGCCCAGAGATGGGAACAGTATTCCATGTAAGGCCGAACTTGCGCTTTGTAAAGTTAAGAAATACTGACTCGCTCTGCTGAGCACGCCAAGCTTTTTAGAGGCCAATTTGGCCTTCCTTTCCAAGTGACCACAAAACTGCACACTATTCGATATATCGACGCCGAGGATTCTGATGCCAGCTGAGATAGCAAGGGGAGTGCCTTGAAACTGAGGAGATACGACAAAGTTGTTCTTTTTAGCGGTAAACGCGCAATCTTGTGTCTTCTGGAGATTGAAATGGACTAGAATTAGTCGCCCCCAATCCGAG